GAGAGGAGGTGCCAAGCTCCTTTTAACAACCGGATGGTGGGAACTAATAGAGCAAGAACTCACAACCCCCACCCCCACCCCCCAGAGAAGGCATTAATCTATTCATGAGGGATCTTCCCCTATGACCCAAACACCTCTCAACACTCCCACGATATGGATCAGATTTCAACATGGGGCTTTGGGGGTGGGGGGTGGGGCAACATATCCAGACTGTATCAGAGGTGGATATGTGTCATATCCCAAAGAAGCAGAGCTCCTATTTCCTCAGTACATCTCTCGTAGGCATGAAATGAAGTCTAAAATACTAAGATTATGGAAGAATAATATAAATGTTTGTGAGATGGAGGTGAGACTCTATTCACGTAATCCACAGCTATCACCACTCCATAATTACTGAGATATATTTAACTCTATACTATGCAATATCTCATTTTTTCCTTGTTCTCTGTAGTGATCTTAACATTAAATTTGAGATACACAAGTTATATTTTTTAAAATTGCTCTTTGTTACTTCTTTGGCTCATATTTTTGTCTTCTCAAATGATTTAAATAACATTTGTACAGAAGATAAAGAAAATGCAATTTTGGTGATTTTATAAAATATATAATATGAAAACTTTAATTTTTTATTCTCACTTACAGAATTTCAAGAACCCTATGCTGTTGTAGTGCTTCTGGAGAAAGATCTCATTGTAGTTGATCTGACACAAAGCAAGTAAGTTATCCATGTACAGATTAACAGAAACTATTTTTAAAACTCTATTCATTGCAATTGCAATAAAGGAACATATTTTAGAAAACTGGCATTAGTATTCTTTAGATGGTAAATATTCTTTATGTGAACATTATTCTGCTAGAATTACAGAAATACAGTTTGGTTCAATGATGAAAACTAAACCAGGAGAGTTTGGGTAACACAGAAAATTGTAAGACATCCTAAAAGAAGTACCTGATGTTTGGACAGAAGCATTTGGAGACTCATGACACATAAAACACTTCTGCTGTTTCCTTAAGCAAAAGCAATTATTATGAAAACTTGTACAATATAATAGCGGGCTGTCTGCTAGACTATATACTAAAGGAAAATTGACTAAAGAAAACGACACATAGTAAAAGTATTATTGGACTACTGCAGCAGACAAAACAGAAGACCAGGAAAATCTCAGGGACAGAGAAGATGAGGGCCTTCTTTTACTTTCTTTTCTTTTTCATTATGTTACAGGCAATTGAAACAAATATAGAATACTGCTGTTTGTGGTACTCTCTACTGCTTAACAATGACAGTAAAAATAGATTTGAAAGTGATGGCTAGATACTGTCTTCTTCCTGTGCATTTTAATTTTAAATAGTGATAGACATGAAACTAGTTTTCCCTCAATATATGTCCTAGATCCATTGTCTTCTTTTAGCCCCTTATATTTGCAACAGAATTTTGTACATTCTCTTTCCTCTGCCTGGAATAATCTTCCCTTCCCAATATACTAAAATAATTTTTCCCAAATATTTTCATGATATTATTGTTCACCTGGTCAGGAGTCTATCATTGTTACCTCTTGCTGTTGTCAAATCTTGAATCGTAGGTTTGATCCTCAGGGTGATTCATTTATCTTACTTTTAACTCTTCAATCTCAGAGATGTAAATAATTTCTACTTTGAAACAGGGAATCTGATTCATCCAGTTTAAGCTACCTGTCATTTACTAAACATGACTTTCTCCTTTCCACCTGATTTTGCATATAGTACTATTCTTATCTGGGGTTCCATTGGCGGCATTTCAGACTGGTAGAACGAGAACCCCTGCCAACACACACACACACACACACACACACACACACACACACACACACCGCCCCCCTTCTCTAGAGACCACACTAAATTCCTAATACCTAATTAAGTTCCTAATAAATATGGGGGGGAATTATTTTTAACAACTACCTCTCCCACAAAAACACATTGTGTCAGAAATAATGTGATCACTCAGACCTGGAAAAGATGAAGTATAAAAAAATATTCATTTCCTCCTAGTACAGTGCCAGGTACATGAGAAGTTGTCAATATATGATGGCTACAAGAATTTTTAATTTGATTCTGTACTCATGTCCTTTTTAAAGTTACAGTAGACTTGAGATATGAAATGTATTATATCATAAGTCTTTGTTAAAACTATGTTCTTTAATTTACATAGGAAATAGTTTTTGAGACATAGACAATCACATACACACACCTACACACCACACACATCTTTCAGTTACTCCTAAAAAAAATTGAAAACTTGCCTATATATTATCTCCCTCTGAAAAACATGTCAAAATTTACTGATATTTTAATATTTATATTACATAAATATTTAAAGTACCTAATTGATATAATTTTTAATAAATGGACTAAGTTAACTTGTTGCATAAATTTTCAGTTTAATATAATTTATTGTATTCATATTAGCAAAATGATGTCACTGTGGAATTATGAGAAGAAAATTAATTTGTCCAAATAAAATTCTACCAGTTTAATATCACATTTTGGAGATAACAGGGGGTTTTTTTTGTTTTTTTTAAAAGATGACCAGTAAGGGCCGGCCCGATGGCGCACTGCTACAGTGTGCCGCTTGGGAAGCGTGGCAGCGCTCCCACTGAGGGTTCGGATCCCACATACAGACCGGCCGCTCACTGGCTGAGCGAGGTGCGGGAGCAACACCAAGGGTTGCGATCCCATTGCCAGTCCCGGTCCGGTACGGGCGCGACACTGAGGGTTGCGATCCGTTGCCGGTCACGAAAAAAGACAAAAAGAAAAAAAAAAAAAAAAAAGATGACCAGTAAGGGGATCTTAACCCTTGACTTGGTTGTCAACACCACACTCTCCCAAGTGAGCCAACTGGCCTTCCCTATATAGGGATCCAAACCAATGGCCTTGGTGTTATCAGCACCATACTCTCCCAAGTGAGCCATGGGCCAGCCCCTTATAGATAACAGTTTTAAAAAGAGCATTCTTGTTCATATAATCCTTGTTTTTATGGTGCTTAAAAAAACAGTTTAGTGAAACTTATAATTAATATTTAGAAAGATTTTAGGGTTTACTCTATGAAAATTATTTTGTATTTTTTACCTTTGCAAAATAGCACTAATATATTGTCTTTGTCCATTAGTTTTCCAATCTTTGAAAATCCATATCCCATGGACATTCATGAATCTCCAGTTACATGCACTGCATACTTTGCTGATTGCCCTCCTGATTTGATTCTAGTACTCTATTCTATAGGAGTCAAGCATAAAAAGCAAGGATACAGTAATAAGGTAAAAGTAGAAATTATAAATTAATTTTCTTGTACTCATATTATATGATTATACTCTTTCCTGTTATGTTATTTTCTGACTTTCAATATAAGAGGACTTGAATTGAGTTCTTTTGAAGACATAAGCTGGCATCTATCAAATATATAACTTCTGAAATTCAAATTTCCTGAAGGCTATATAGCTTTAAGCCTACAGGAGTATAAATTTCTTGTACACTAGGAATATAATGTCATACTAAGATAAACTTATCAATCATGTATTTATCTATCATATAATAAGTATGTCCTTAAATTGGCATATATTTGAATCATAATATCCAACCTTTAAATATTTTAGATGAAGGATCATATTTTAAGAAATTTAAAAGAGCCAATTCTTCCTAGTTTATCATTAATTAATGGTTTAGAAGACATAAAAATTTCTTCTGTTAAATAACATTCTAGAATTCCTTTTTCTTCTATTTACTACAAGATTCAAATATTTACTATTGTAACAGACCATCTGTTATAATTTCTGTTATTTGCACAGGACTGTTGGGATAGACAACTCCAAGATGGACTATTTAGTATTCGTGTTAAATGGCACCACAATAGTTTGGTGGTGCACAGACTATGTGACACATATAGCAATACTGTATTTGTACAATTAAAAATACTTCTTTCATTTTTTTATATGAATGGTAATATTAGTTAAAATCTATATTTTTTAAAGGCTATGGAATTGTGCATTTGGAGGTGTTTGTTCAATGAAAGAATTAAAAGATAGCTACATAATTCATCTTTGATTATCATACAGCTATTTAATTTTCAGTGACCCTTTATCACTATTTTGAAATGTTTCCATTCTAAATTTGTAAGTCATTTGAACCAAAAAATTAAACATATATTCTTTTTGGATAATCTATTTAGGAGTGGCCAATCAGTGGAGGAGCGTGGAACCTTGGAGCACAAACATATCCAGAAATTATTATTACTGGGTAAGTGGGATGTGTTTTGTGAGTTATCAGTTCATTAGCAAAAAAATATTTATTGAGTCTCATCCCTTTCCCATAATTGTGCTCTATGCAGACTAACAATTTAAGTAAGAGTAAAAGTATGAGAGACAGAATCTATCCAAAGATTATAATCTTGATGGAAGATAGAATCATACCATTGGAAATATACAATTATAATGAAAAAATTGAGTATAGATTATATCAGCAAGAGAAATTCAAAGGGAGAAAATCTTGAGAGATTAGGCAGGAAAACCTTCATTTTAGAAATTATAGCCTGTTAGCTTTAGAAAGGCCCTTACCAACATGTCTTGATCCCTGTCAAATCCAGCAATCAGTGCTCTATATCTTTATTAGGTAATTATTTAAAATATGCTTCAAAACTGAGGGCTGGCCATTTATCTCAGTTGGTTAGAGCACGTTATAGCATTGACGTCAAGTGTTCGGATCCCCATACCACTTAACCAACAAAAAAAAAGTAAAAAAATTTACAGCATTTATAACAAACTTATAACAAATATTACTACTTTGTATAGCAACATTCATATTCTTTTTTTTTTTTTTTTTTTTTGAGACCGGCCACACCGTGCCCAGCCAGGGAGCGCACCGGTCATCCCTACATAGGATCCGAACCCACGGCGGGAGCGCCCCTGCGCCCCCCCCCCCCCCCCCACACCCCCCCCTCTTTTTTTTTTTTTTTTTGAGACCGGCCACACCGTGCCCAGCCAGGGAGCGCACCGGTCATCCCTACATAGGATCCGACCCCACGGCGGGAGCGCTACTGCGCTCCCAGCTCCGCACTCTCCCGAGTGCGCCACGGGCTCGGCCCAACATTCATATTCTAATATTCGGAATGAAAAGAGAGACATAGCTAAAGATTAATATGAGGTTTAAGAGATAATAACAGGGAAGATAGAGAAGATATACTTTTCCCTGTTCTTCCCACTTAGTACAATTAAAAACCCTAGATGTCACATTTAAGACAAACATAAATTGACTGGGATATGTGGAGAAACATCAATCTGGCTAGGGCCCCACAGTCCCAAAGAACAGCATGGTGATGAGTTTCTTAGGTTTTCTTCTGCCCCATATATCTCAGAATTAAAGCTGAAGAAGCTGGTAACCTGGAACTGTGAATAGGTACTGACAAATCCCAACAAAAGAGAGTTCTCTTTAGTCAAGGAATCAGGAAAGGGGCAGCCTATCAAGACAAAAAAACTTTTAGAAAATAATCTCCCTACTTGCATTAAATATTCACCAACACTCACAGACACAACTAGAGCCCCACCCCAATCCACTCCAGCAAAGGCCAGGTGGGGAGCCTAGACTTTCACCCTTGTCAGGCTGTAATGAGGTGTTCCAGCTTCCCCAGAGTGTCAGAGAAAGCAGAGTAGAAAGCTGGGACTTTCGCCCCTGCTGGGTGAAACCTCTTTCCTTTGGTGTCAGTGGAGACCATGTGGGGAGCCAGAATTCCCACCACTATGCAGCAGTAAGAGGAGCCACCACTCTTCACCCCTAGTGTCGACAGAAATCAAGTGAGGAAGAAGAAAAGAAAGAAGGCAGGGCTGGAAAAGAAGATGCACAAAAGAAAATGAGAAAAGAATCAAAGTGTTTCACCACAGAAAAATCAATGAAACACAAAAGAAGCCAGCAAGAGAAAAAAGAAGTTCAAAATAATAACAGTATATACAGAAAACAATAAAATGGCATTACTAAGTCCTTCCATATTTAGAACCCCTAAAAGTATAAATGGATTAAATTACCCAATCAAAAGACAGAGTATCTGAATTTAAAAAAAAATACAACTGTATGCTGCCTCTAAGAAATGCACTTTAGATTTAAGATCACATATAGACTGAAAGAGAAGGGATAGAAAAAGATATTACATGCAAATAAGTGGTAACCAAATGAGAACAGGGTGGACACGTGTATGTCAGACTTTGAGTCAAAAATTTACAAAAGAGACATTACATAATAATAAAAGAATCAATTCACCAAGAAGAAATAAAAATTATAACTACATATTCATAACAACAGAACACCCAAATATGTGAAGTAAACATTGACAGGATTGAAGAAGGAAATATACAGCATAACAAGAGTAGGAAATTTCAATACTACATTTTAAAAAATGGATAGACAAACTGGACAGATAATCAATCAAAAAAAGAGTACTTGAAAAACAGTATAGGCCAATTGGACCTAACAGACACATATAAAACACTTCACTAAACAACAAGAGAACACATACTGCTCAAGTGAACATGAAACATTTTCCAGGTTAGATAACAAGTTGGGCCACAAAACAAGTCTTAACAAATTTAAGAAGACTGAAATCATACCAAGTATCTTTTCTGACCACAGTGAAATGAAACTAGAAATTAATAGCGAAAGGAACACAAGAAAATTCACAAATATGTGGAAATTAAGCAACATACTCTAGAACAACTAATGGATCAAAGAAGAAATCACAAGGAAATTAGAAAATATTTTGATACAAATGGAAATGAAATCACCACATACCAAAACAATAAAAAGCAATATACTGTAAACTTCTAAGAGGAAGTTTATAGTGGTAAATGTCTACATTAAAAAAGGAGAAAGATCTCAAATCATAAACTTAACTTTGTACCTCAAGAGATTAGAAAAAGAATAAGCTAACTCCAAAATTAGCAGAAGGAAGTGATAAAGATTATAGAAGAAATAAACAAAATAGAGAACAGAAAAACAATAGGAAAAAATGAAGAAAACTAAGAGTAGGTGTTTTGAAAAGATCAACAAAATTCACAAACCTTTAGCTAAAGTAACAAAAAAGATGACTCCAATAGCAAAAATTAGAAGCAAAAAAGAAACCATTACAACGATGCCCCAGAAATAAAAAGGTTTATAAGAGACTACTATGAACAACTACATACCAACAAATTAGATGAATTAAAAGAAATGGATAAATTCTGAGAAACATTCATCCCAGAAAGATTGAATCATAAAGAAATAAAAAATATTAGCAAACCTATTACTAAGAAAATTGAATCAGTAATCAAAAACCTTCCAACAGAGAAAAGACCAGATGGCTTCACTGAATAATTCTACCAAATATTTAAAGAAGAATAAACACCAAGTCTTCTCAAACTCTTCCCAAAAATTGAAGAGGAGATAAAACTTCCAAACTCATTTTATAAGGGCAGCATTACCCTGATAACAAAATCAGACAAAAATACTACAAGGAAAAAAAATGCTGCAGACCAATATCCCTGTTGAATATTGATGTAAAATCCTCAACAAAATACTAGCAAGCCAAATACATCAACACATTAAAAGGGTTGTACAACAACACTACATCATGCCCAACTGGGATTTATTTCAGAAATACAAACATGATTCAACATATGAAAATCAATCAATGTAATACACCACATTAACAGAATGAAGGGGAAAAAATGACATGATCATATGAAATTATGCAGAAAACATATTTGACAAAATTTAACACCTTTTTGTGATAAAAACACTCAACAGACTAAGAAATAAATTACCTCATCATAACAAAAGCCATATATGAAATACCCACAACTGACAACATACTCAGTGTTGAAAATCTGAAAGCTTTCTCTCTAAGATCAGGAACACGGCAAGGATGCCCATTCTCACCACTTCTATTCAGCACAATACTGGAAGTCCTCGCCTGAGCAATAGGCAAGAAAAACAAATAAAAGGCATCCAAATAGGAAAGGAAGAATCAAAATTATATCTCTTTGAAGATGACATGATATTGTATGTAGAAAACCCTAAGGATTACACACAAACATAAACACTCACAAGCTATTAGAACTAGTACACAGATTAAACAAAGTTGAAGGATACAGAATCAACACACAAAATCAATTGAATTTCTATACACTAACAATGGATAAGGCTGACAAGGAAATTAAGAAAACAATCTGATTTACAATAGCATTAAAAAGAGTAAAATACTTAAGAATAAAGTTAACCAAGTAGGGAAAAACTTGTACACTGAAAATTACAAAATATTGATGAAATAAATTAAAGAGGATAAAAATAAATGGAATGTCATGCTTGTTAGTGAATTTAGAAGACTTCATATTGTTAAAATGTCCATACTACCCAAAGTGCTCTACAGATTCAGTACAATCACTATCAAAATCTCAGAGGTACTTTTTCTTACAGATATAGAAAAAAATCCTAAAATTCATGGAATCTCAAAGGGCCCCAAATAGCGAAAACAATCTTGAGAAAGAAAAACAAAGGTGAAGTCTTCACACTTTCTGGTTTTGAAACATACTCTAAAGCTACAGTAATCAAAACAGGATGGTACTTCTGTAAAGTCAGACATATAGTACAATGAAACAGACTAGAAAGCCCAGAAAGAAACCCTCACATGTATAGTCAAGTGATTTTTGACAAAGATGCGAGGGCTACACAATGGGGAAAGGATAGCCTCTTAAGCAAATAGTCTCCAGAAAACTGGATATCCACATCCAAATGAATGAAGTTGGACTTTTACCTTACACTATATACAAAAATTAACTCAGAATGTATTAAAACCTTAAACACAAGACCTGAAATTATAAAACTTTTAGCAGAAAACATGGGAGAAAATCTTCATTGTATTTGGCAATGGTTTCTTGGATATAACATCAAAAACACAGGCAACAAAAGCAAAACTAGACAAATGAGACTATAGCAAACTCAAAAACTTTTGTGAAGCCAAAAAACTACAGTCAACAGAGTGAAAAAGCAACTTCCAGGGAGAAAGTATTTATAAACCATGTATCTGGAAAGGGGTTAATATTCAGAATATACACCCCCACCATGCAGGCTGCCCAGGTGAGCACACAGGGCCTGAGCTGCACCTGGGGACTGATTCAGTTTCAGGTCCTTCCCACACCCAAACCCTGGAGAGGCATGCAGGCCCCACCACCCCACCACACGAGCCATACAGGTGATTGTGCAGAACCTATTCAATG